TGGAATGAATGAGTTTTTTTCAAGACCCAAAGAAAGTCGCATGCTCTACAGTCAGGTGTCCCTGGAATGAATGAGTTTTAATGTCAAAGGTACACTGGTACAAGATTAGAATTGGTTTCCTCTCACTGTTAAAACAACAAAGTTTTCTCAGATTATTGGTCCACTCCCAATAAGAAAGTATAAACAAAGGTTTTTGTCTTTGACTTACTCCAGGTAAAAAAGTACTCCAGGTAAGAAAACTGAATTTTTTAGGTGTTTTGTCTTTATCTGGTCTTTGATTACTTAAGGAAACTGATCTTCTCAATATTAAGAGCTAAGTTTTGTTAACAACTACGTAACCTTCTCTATTTGCTTTTAGAATCTTTTATTGTCACCTTGGATAATAAATAAAAGAGTATTAAGTTTTGTAATTATCTGTGATACTATTTAGGCAGATGTTTTAAAAACTTATGTTATTTTTAACAAACTTCCCCCAATTCAAATTCTAAATGAAGTCTTTTTTGAATAAATTGTCAAATTGCCAAAGCACGGTCAGGTAAGTGATGATAAACCTTGGGTTATATTGTATGGGTGAATTGCTATTACTATAACTGCTCTAGAAATAATAGTAAATTCCTAAAGTTTTAATATGTCCTGGTACAATGTTATCACTTGTAATTCAAATGATTAAAGTGTTGTGTGTCACAGAAATAACCACATTTCTTTGTCAGCTCCATTGTAATGAACTCTCATGGAACTCTCATTGGATCTTGAACCATGGCCATTCTGAATCTTTTGTCATTTACAGTTCTTGTTTTATACTTGATGCTCTTGCAAATGTGTTTCAGCTTCAAGGAGATTCATGGAAAGGACTTTTGATAAATACAGGTTTCTGATAACAAGATGAAACAGGATACGAATTTCTGTAACTAGTGTGAAATGTGGATTCAAACAAGAAGAATTAATAACATGCGCTGGAATAAACTGAGGAAGATGATCACAGTTTTTATGAGTCTTGTTCGAAATGTTGCTGGTTTTCTAATGTTTGCTCTTCCAGCTTTAAGGAAACTTTCCCTCTTAAGCTATCTATGAACAGAAATTTGATTAAATATTCCTTTGTGAACAAATATGAAACATTTGTGTTTTTCTCCCTACCTGACCCCTCCAGAGTTTAGAAACTCAGTGACTATTTCTGTTTTCATGGCAATTATAGTTATTTGCAGAGTTTATTAAGAATCTGCTCTCCTTGTAACAGAACACCATTGTAAACATTGGTTATGTTACCAAGGCTTTGACTGGAATGTTGTATTTGAGAGAGAAGTGCATAGTCTCAGATATGACCAAATAGCTTTAGGGAACTGAGGCTGACTTTATGGAGCCAATGAAGCCCCTTGGAACAATAAGCCTGATACCTTGCTTATAGGGTTCCCAGCAGCCTTACAACATGAGTAAGGAAGGTCACTCCCTGGCAGGAGCAGGAACCTCAGGATATTTGGGGGACCTCTAAAAGGGAGGATTCACCCAAATCCATAGCTATTAATTATACAAAAGTCTGATGGCAAGTTATTGGCGTTGGCTTCTTAGCCTGAGGAAGCTGCTGAAAAGTCAATCTAAAATTGCTTATGAAATGTTTCAGTAAAGCAGATTTAAAACAAGCTATAGAATCCATCACTATTCTTGCTATACTTCAGAAAAGAATCAGGCCAAGGTGTTGAAATTGGACTTATTTTACAAATTAGTATTCATTTGGCTGTCTTTGGTGGAAATGAGGGTGATTTTAGAGACTGTTAAGAAATAAAACCCAACTGAATAAATCTAAAGATCTAATTGGTTTTATTAAATAATTCATGAATCAAGCAGCACCCCATCTAGCAAATAGAGGGAAGCTTTCAGAAATTGTACGAAATGGAGGGTGTTTATAGGAAAGAAGGTGGGGCCTGAACCTTATTAGTAAAAGAAAAGGATTGTTCTAGGCAGGGTCACTTTCCCTTGGGGGAAGAAGCGGGGATCTTATCATGCAGATTACTTCTTCCTCCTTTGGGTGGGGGTGGATGGAGAGGCCCCACAGGACAGACTCCTTGGCATTGAGGAGGAAAATTCCAGACTGACCCATCAGTTAAGATTACATTTCTGGATTTGCAACGAGGTGGAATGAACTAGAGGGTATTTTGCTAAGCGAAATAAGTCAGTCAGAGAAAGAAAATTATCATATGATCTTACTCATATGTGGAATTTAAGAACAAAACAGAGGGTCATAGGGAAAGAGAGGGAGACAAATGGTAAGAGGCTCTTTAATCATAGGAAACAACCTGAGGGTTGCTGGAGGGAAGGGGGGTAGGAGGATGGGGGTAACTGGGTGATGGAGACATTAAGGAGAGCAGGTGATATAATGAGCACTGGGTATCATATAAGATGGATGAATCACTGACCCCTACCTCTGAAACTAATAATATATGTTAATTGAATTTAAATTAAAAAAAATTACATTTCTGGGGGAGATTGAAACTGAAATTACATTAGGTATTAGGTTCCAGTTTGGGAACTCGGCATAAGTCACACCATTTTGGGCCTGTAGTTTTCTTTTTAAAGAGAGAAAAAAAAACTGCAGTAACACACATATTCAGATATTAGATTCTAGTTCTGATTGAGGATTGTTGTTTCCCCATAAAACTGTGCTGGATCCTGAATTCTGGTGTCCTCAGATATCTGGCTGTGATTCTCCAACTAAGGTTTCTAGTTTTCTTTCCTTCTTTTGACTTGGAATCACTGAGAACTAAAATTGCTGTTTTGGGAATGCCTGGGTGGCTCAGTAGCTTAAGTGTCTGCCTTTGGCTTTGGGTCCTGGGATCCAGACCTGCATTGGGCTCCTGCTCAGCGGGAAGTCCGCTTCTCCCTCTGCCCCTCCCCCTTTTGCTTTCTCTGTCTGTCAAATAAATATTTAAAATCTTAAAAAAAAAGTTGCCATTCCTGAAGCCCTGCAAACTGGAGCTAGACAACTTGAGAGATAAACTTCAGAGAAACTGTCACAACAGCCCGTGTTTAGACGGTCTTCATGCCTTTTGCTGTATGGGCCATTCAGAAAGATCACCAGAGATACTCAGACTGCAAACTAGGAAAATTTATCAGAGTGCCACCGTCTGCTCTCTCTCCCTCTGAAGATGGTATGAACTTGATATCTAGAAATCTCACTGGCAGCACTCAGGACCACAATGGTTTTATAATTTGCTCCAACCAGTAACATTTTTTCCTTTGTTTTTCTTTTGTTTCCATAGAGAGGCTTTTTAAAAAATTACCTGATTGCTTGCACAGTATGGGCCTAACTTTGGGAACCCCCTTTCAAGACCACCTCCCTAAATGAGACACAACTGTTAACTGAATATACCTATTTTCAAAAGACTAGTTCCTGAGATACAGAGCAGACCTCTTAAGGTTCAGAACATTTAAACTCCAGTTAACGGGGAATAATATTGATCTCTGATATTTTTCCAGAAAAAAAAAATCTTGATCAAAATGCTCCATTTTTCTTTCCAACTCATGAACTCTTGAAGTAGGCCAGAAGCAGCAACTATTTTACATACAGTTGGTCATAAAGTTTAAACACAGGAACTGGCATTCAGATCCTAGGAACCCAGTCAAGTGAATTAATACATACCAGAGACAGTTTTGTTCGATGGCACCAATAAAACGATAAGATAGTAATCAGAAGTGCCTCCACTGGTTAGCACCAAAGTAGCAGTTTTTTTTTCACTTCCTTATCTAAATCATATAATCACCCCTTCCTTCTTGCTCATAAAAACCCCTTGCTTTCCTTTCATGACCAAGACCCTTTTTTGATTTCTCCAGAATTCTGAGCCCCCAAATAAAGGCCTTTGTTGTTTTCAATTTTGCCTCCTTTACTCCGTTGATAAAATGATATGCAATAGAATAAGACAATGCAGAATGTGTAACATGGAAAGATAAATTGTTTTAAAAACATTTCTCAATAACGTTAATATGCATAAACTATTTCTATGTATAAATACATGTATTAAATATAAAATGTATGCGGACATGCGCGCGGACATACACACACACCTGGAGTTGTCAAACTATTTCTCACAGCGGGTTTTGATTCAAAGTTTGAAAAGCCCCTGAAAGAGGACTCAAAAGGATCCTGGCAAAGTAAATTCAAGGTCAAATGAGAGAGCCCCTTTCCTCGCCTTTTGCAATGTAGAGCAGTTAATACACGGAGAGGAAATTGCGTGGGAGGGAGGGGACACCCGAGCGAGGTCAAGCGAGGAGCAAGGGCGCATCAGGACAGGGAGGTGCTGGATTCCCGACTGTCAGCTTAAGTAACCGGGAGGTTGATGCTATACGCTTCCCTTAAATGCTAAACCGAAAGAACTTCCGCGTTCCTTGTCCCTGAAAAGCGTACAAAGAAATGGGGATTCGCTGTGCTTCTGGAGGTCACGCTACATGGGGCCAGTTCCCGCACAGGGAATTATTATCCAGGGCAAGGAGAGGGGAGGTGGGCGGGGCGTGGGAAGAGCGGGAAGGCCTGACCAGTTCCATCGAGAAGAACGACTCACGTCGTGCTCTGCACAGCCCACCAGAGGGACCAGCAGTTCTGCACTCTGGGACCCATTCGCGGAAGGAAGCCCCAGGGGGCGGGTTGGGAGTTGGGCCCTTTTCCAAGAGACAGCGGCGCTCCCAGCCAAAGGGCAGCACCCGCCTCCGTCCCCAGCCCTGCAACCGAATGGCTGGGCCGCCGGGTCGCAGGAACCCACGTGACCTGCTGCGTGGGCCACCGCCTCCGCCGCGCCCAGGCCCCGCCCCCGTGACGTCTCACCGCCCTCTGATTGTCGGAGCGTTCCGCCTCTTTCCGCGTTCGCTAATTGGCTCGCCGGGCAGGCAGCGCTTCCCCCCCCCCCCCCCCCCCCCCCCCGCCCCGCCACGCCCCCGGAGTCGTGGAGAACGCGTTTGGGGGCGGGGTCTGGGTTGGAGGGGCGGGGTGATAGGGTTCCGCGCGGGTAAAGGGGCTGCCTGGAGCTCTGTCCGAGCGTTCTGCCGTGCACGCCGCCTCGCCTTCAAGGCTCGCCGTCTGCCCCTCCCCCGCCCGCCGCCGTCACCGGGGAAACGGGCCGCGATAGCCCGCTGACCCGAAGCTGGTTTCATGGCAGCCGCGAAGAAAGCAGTTTTGGGGCCACTGGTGGGGGCAGTGGACCAGGGCACCAGCTCAACGCGCTTTTTGGTGAGCCTAGGGTGACATTTGAGGAGGCGCTGAGCCGAGGCGGGAGCCCAGGGACCTCGGGGCTGGTTTTCTTGTCCCCATCCCGCGCCTTCCCCGACCCCGGGCCCGGTCGCTAGGCAAAGGGTGGAGGCCAAGGCCCCCAGACCGGGACCTGCCACGCTGGAGCTACCCTGCGTGGGCCTGGGGGACCTCGGCCTCTCGCAACCCCCGCGGTCGAGTTGAGCAGCCCTGGCCTTGGTGGTGGAGCCAGGTCACCTACTAATAGGGGACTCCACCCCCAAAGGGAGCTACGACTCGCCGAGCATCCGTGCAGAGCGGCCCGCCTGCAGCCAGGGACAGGTGGCCACATTGACCGCTAGTGCGGGCTTCACCAGGAGCATTTGGCCTGCGGGGCGCAGGACGTCCTTGGATGGGGCGAAAGCTGTGTCACGGCTTTGGTAGACTAACACGGCGTCCTTTGGAGCAGTAGAACGAATATAGTATTGGCGTGGGGATGCGTTGTCATCCTCTCCCACAGAAATTGCAGAAGGTGGAATGCTGGCGTGGGGGGGGTGGGGGGGGCGCAGAACACCTTACGAAAAAGTCACACTACACTGCTTTTACCGGCATCTTTACTTAATTCCGGATACTCGAAAATTTCAATTTCTGGTACTTTGCGGGTTACAGATGGTTTTCTCCGTGCTTCACAGCGTAAAATGATAGGAGAATTCTGTTTCCCTTTTTATTTACCATGTATGACAGCAGTTTTATCACAACGGAGTGCTAGTTAAGGGACTCTGCTTATTAATATGTTTTGTGCAATTAGGAAACTTGCTCTTAAAGTGGTGTAGGACTGAGTTTAGTAAGATAAAAGTAATTGAAATAAATGGTTAAGAACTCAAGCTTTCAATGGACATTTGACTCATTTGACAGGTTGATGTAAATATTGAATGATTATTTAGCTCTGTCTTTACTTCAGATCATTTTTTCATGCGTTATTTTGTATGTGTATATACTGTGTATATATATGTATACATTATATATGAAGTTTATATGTTTCTTCCAAGTTCTGTTGAGCTGACCACTTGACTAAAACCTGTATTTGTGCCTTCATTTTGATACTTGTCTCTCTTGTCTAAAGTGAAAAGCTTTCAGTACGATTTTAGTGTGAGTCTCCCTTAATGTTAATGACTTACCCTGGTTTGAGTTACCAAGACGTAGTTCTACTGTCTCTTATATTGCTTATCTTTTGATCACCCAGGGCAGGTTTCACTTTGTCTTATTTTCATATCTTATTTTCACTTTGTCTTATTTTCATACAAATGTAAAGTAATCCTGAATCATAAGTAAAATAATCTAACTGGATTTGATTAATATATAAAATACACAATCATCATTACCATCTCCCCAATTTAAGAAAGATCTTTAAGACATGTGTTGGGGTGCCTGGGTGGCTCAGTTGGTTAGGCGTCTGCCTTTGGCTCAGGTCATGATCCCAGAGTCCTGGGATTAAGCCCTGCATCAGGCTCCCTGCTCATCAGGAAGCCTGCTTCTCCCTCTCCCACTGCTCCACTGCTTGTGTTCCTTCTCTTCCTGTGTCTCTCTCTGTCAAATAAAATCTTAAAAAAAAAAAAGACATGTTTATTAACTGTGGGTTAATTTTTTGAAATCCTATTTAAGAATTACCCACACAATGCCTGCAGGGGCCAGCCAGGTAGAAGAGAGCAGACTCAGGCCAAAGGGGATAGCCTACAGCTGCCAAGCAGGAACACCAGGCAATGTCGCCAGAGCTTCAGATTTTTTTTTTAAAGATTTTATTTATTTGACAGAGATCACAAGAAGGCAGAGAGGCAGGCAGAGAGAGAGAGAGAGGAGAGCTTCAGATTTTTAAAGAAAAGCTGATAGTCTAGAATTCTCAGTGAAATTTTTCTCTTAAATGTTGGCAACTAGTTCATAAAGCTCAGTCGGGGCCAAACTCAACGTGGTGATTATTCTCAAGTTTATACAGCTTTTGCCCTCTGTGAATATGGGTAAAGAATTTCAGAACTTTGCAGGCTTCCTTTTTAGCAGCCAGCCTTACTGTGCTTGTCTTCCTTTTGACTCTTCACTGTTGACGTCCATGTAGCTCAGCAGTCTTATCTATTGTAGGTCATTCTTCAAATTCTGCTGCCCAAGAGGCATTTTTCTGCATTGGTGGGGAAAGAATTTGTCAACTTCAAGTTATCACAATAATTTGTTCAGTGTATGATATGAACAACCTAAGCTCCCAGAAGCTGGGTTCTCTTTACTGGGCTCTGTATGGCATGATCTCATTGAGTAAGCTAAGGTGCAAATTCAGATTCCCATCCTGCTTATAGAATGATGCATAAAAGTTGATCAGTTAAGTTTTCTGCTTCTTGAGAAACAAATATGAAGGCATGCCTCACATGTCCATAAAAGATTTAGACATTGTGTGAAGTGGAACAGAACTTAGGAACGGTTTAGCGAAATGTTTTCTTCTTTGGTTATAAGGAAAGTGGTTGCTAAACAACTCCCTGCAAAATACAGATAATAAATTTGCTGAATAAGTGCTTCCATCCTAAGGTGATTCCCAGGAGTTGTTCCAATCGTTTTGTTCTGTGTTGTAATTCTGACTCAGAACTCATTGCTTACCTTCTCAGGAAAGAATACAGTGAATGTGAACTGTCATAAGGAACCTTGCAAAGTTAAAGGTGTTTGAACAACTTCCTGACCATTATTCATCAGATTTGCGTACCTCATTCCACTTTTATAAGACCCATAACCTCTGCAAGCTTTCTTCTTCCTTTTTCTGTAATAGGAATGTTAGCTTTCTCCAATGATGGACACAAGATTTCTTTATTCATGCTCTTTCATCCGAGCAAATTGCCTCCTCCCCTGTTCCTCATATCTGCTGCCTGAAATTCCAGTCTGCTTCCAAATGGTGCCTTAACTGCCATCTCCTAGCAGGTCTTCCTCAAACCTTGGAATTTCTACCCCTTCCTATCCTACTTTTCTTAAAACCTCTCTTCCTAGCTCTTATCACCTGCTCTGTATTATAATCATATACCTGCTCTGCTTCGGAGCAGGGACCTCTTTTGAAGTCTTGGTCTCTGTGTTCCTTAAAACATCTTGGTCAACACCGCAAGTGAACATGTGTTTTGTCTACAGGGAGCACTTGCTATGTATTTATTGAAGAGATGTTTATTTCTCTTTAATAGGTAAACTGAAATTTGATTCCAGTTTTGTTGTCTTTTTTTTTTTTTTTTTTTTTACCTTGCCAAAAAATCTTAAAACTTCTTGACTTGGGTATATTTATTTAATTTCTTCTATTTTAGTAGTAGACCTGCCTTTTAAGAACATGGTCACTTCTAGTTGTCAGAGTCCCCCCTGCGACCCTATGCATAGGCTTTGTGCTAAAGGAAGAATTTCATACTTGTCTGATAGGAAAGTGAACTGAGGTTGGCACATGATTACTCAGATTACAGAATAGGAACTTCTTGGAAAGAGAATCAGTGTAACAGGTTTTAAGGAGGGGCCATTTCTTTAGAAGACTATAAAGTTTCAGCTGGAACAGTCAACTTCCTTCTTTAATTTGGTAACTTTGTTTTTCCCCCGATTAAGTTGGATGTTACAAAAAGCAAAGACTTGGAATTTGTTGTGACTTGAAATGTGTTAGATGCAGCAATTGAGGATTTTTCTAGCATTATCTCATTTAATCCTCCTAACAACCATGGTGTAGGTAGTATTATTAGGCTCCTTTCCTGTGCCCAAGGTCACAGAGTAACGGGTGGAACTAGGATTCAAGGCCAGCTCTGTCTCACTCAGAAGCCTGTCCTCCTAATTCCTGCCTTAGGCTTCCCAGCTGCCTGGAGTGCTGTGAAGGGGAGATGAGAGGCTGGGGAAGCCCACTTACCCACCTTTCAGGTGTCCATTCAGAGTACAATCACAGATGAGTCTTCACCAAGAAAAATATATGTACACATTTGTTTTGCAGTATGTAAAAACAAAACAAAGCAAACAAAGTTGCCTTTGAATAAGTCTTTCTGGTTTTGATGATCTTGTGACTCAGATTCAGTGGGTTCTGGGCAGGGCTCAGGTGTAGTCACCCTGGATAAGGGTTGCACAAACATTTTGTTCCAGTAGCCCGCATGTCCGAAACATGGCTAGATCTATAGTTCCATGCTTGTTTTGGCACAAACCATTGCCTTGGCCCCAGTTGTTCCATCAGACTTTGAGATCTCCTAAGGCTTAGGGACTGATTTCCACTTTACTTCTTTCATTCGACATACTTAATATTAATAAGCACCCATAAAGGGCTGGGAACTCATGAAATTTGGTAAAAACTAATTTGCTCCTAGGTAGGATGAGGCCACTGTTGTGATAAGTTGTATTTCTTTTGTGTTTTCTTTTTTCCACCAGGTTGGCTTATTTTCTTGCCCATCACCTTACACAAATGGCAAGAACACTGTCTCATCACAGAGCTGCCATCCCCTTGTTCTCTTGTCTCCCATAAGCATTGCATGTTAAGAACTTTCAATTTTGAGCTCTTTAAAGGGCAGGATGGTATCTGTTTTTTCCTCCCCAAAGCCTAACACAGCACTTCACATGTATGTAGTGGGTGCTCCTTACATGATGACATCTGAGCCCTTCAGATGTGTTGACTAGAATTCTAGGATTGGAAGACTAGGAAGGGTAAAATTTGTGGAGGCTTGGAAAAAGTCTAATTTGGCAGCTATAGCTAGAAAAATATAATGTCATTTGCTGTCTTTTCCTTACTTCTGGGCTTGTTGGAAGATGCCAGGATGCCTTTTGTGGTCACGTTGGCAAAGTAATAGATTTGTAGCCAGTATTTTTATTTTAGGTCTTTCAAATTTATGTAGTATCATAGAGTTCTAGAGGGGGAGTTTACATTCCTGAAAAATGTTTTATCACATAGTGAAGCTGAGTGTGGTGTAAAAGTGTAGGCTCGTGGGGAAATCACATGAGGAGGGAAATGAATGTGCATGTTTATGATGGCTCAG